CTTCTCTTCCGTCAACCCTATCAGGCAGCACTTCATACAAAGCACCTTTCAGGTGCTCACTCCAGGATAATGTACATCTCACAGGCTCCACATCCAGTCATTTTAATTGCCTCTTCCATTCCTTAGGTCACTACCACTGCTGCCTCTGTCACTGTGATAGCCATCACACCTAAGCCCCTGTCAAGGGGAAAAAACACTCCACAAATTAAGACAACCATACTCACTCCCACAAACTCCCCTTACAAACTCTCACCCAAACTCCTCTGTTTTCAGCTCTGTTTGCTGGCTATTGTGCTGCAGCTTCTGCACCGCTGACTGATTGCCTTAATAAGCCCAATAATCAGTGCTCCCCTGTGGGCTAAGGCTCTGCTTCTCTTACAGCACACTGCCTCCTGTCAGTCTCTGCAAACAGCAAACAAACCAGCAAGCAAACAAGCTCTCAAGAACTCACTCATGGCTTCTAAGGAACAGGGACTTGCTTCCCTTCCCTTCCAACAGTTCTCCCCTCAAACTCCTCTGTTTTCAACTCTGATTGCTGGTTCCTGTGTCCCCGGCTGGCTGCTTGGCTGCCATTATAGCCCACCTAATCACGGCTCTACTGTGATCCAAGACTCTGCTTCTCTCACAGCACGCTGCCCCCTACCAGCCTCTGCAACCTGAAAACAGAAAAGAAATCAGCAAAGAAGCCGCAAGCTATCTCTGAAGAACTCATTCACCCACTGTCCCTAAGGAACAGGGGCTTGCCTCCCTTCTCCTTCAACAGAGCTCAATTCAGACTCTCTTGTTTTCAGCTGTTTGCTGGCTCCTGTACTGCTCCTCCGTTTGGTTTGTTTTTTTGTTTTGTTTACATTGTACTTAAAAACACAACATATTTTTGGAGGGTGAGGAAGGAGATGATATAATTCTTTCACTGCCAAGCTATATGCATCTGAAAACAGGACAGTATTGAATCCTAACATTAAAATAATAGACCATGTGCAACTCATAGTAAAATTAATGGGAGTTCCAAGCATGAACAAGAACATAAGAATGACGATACTGGGTCAGACCAATCACCCATTTAGCTAGTATTCCTGTCTTCTGATAGTGGCCAGTTCAGGGACCAGAATGAATGGGAATGAAAGGAATGGGCAATTTGTCCAATGATCCCTCTCCTGTAGTCCAGCCCCAGCTTCTGGCAGTCCACAAATAAGAACACAAGGCAAGACTGAGATTGGGCAGTCTATTTATGGCCTGCCTACTCTACCAGATTAAGCAATAATTTAAAAAAAAACTTGGATGCTGATAAACCTTATGAAATGGTTCTCGTTTTATGATTGTTGGATAGAAAAGTATTTACAACATTAATTTAGGTCTTAGAGTCTCTCTCACTGTAAATGCTTTTAAGTAAAATCATTCTAGCTCAGGGGTGGGCAAACTACGGCCCGCGGGCCGGATCCGGCCCCTCGGGTCTTTGGATCTGGCCTGCTGGATTGCCATCCCCGTAGCGCCGCGGGCACTGCACTGTGCCGGGAAGCGGCCAGCACCTCGTTCCTGCAGCCCAGGGCGCAGGGGAGGCAGAAGGCTCTGCGGGCTGCTCTTTCCGAGTGGGTACCTCCCCCGAAGTTCCCATTGGCCAGGAACGGGGAACCACGGCCAATGGGAGCTTCGTGGGTGGTACCCACAGGCAAGAGCAGCCCACGGAGCCCTCTGCCTCCCCTCCCCTCAGGGGCCGCAGGGACGTGGTACTGGCCGCTTCCTGGAGCAGCGTGGGGCCGGGGCCAGGGCAGGCAGGCAGGAAGGGAGCCTGCTCTGGCCCTGGTGCATGCCGCTGCAACCCCGGAGCTGCTCCAGGTAAGCGGCACCGGACTGGAGCCCGCATCCCAAACCCTTCCATCACCCCAACCCCCTGCTGCACCCCACATCCTTCCTGCACCCCAACCCCCTGCTGCACCCCTCCTGTACCCCAACCCCCTGCGCTAAGCCCCCTGCTGCACCGCACCCCTCCTGCTCCCAAACCCCCTTCCCTGAGCCCCCTCAAACACCCCACACCACTCCTCTGCCCCAACCCCTTGCCCGGAACCCCTTCCTGCACCCCACACTCCCTCCCACAACCCAACCCCCTGCCCCAGCCCTACGTTCATGGCCCTGCAAGCAATTTCCCCACCCAGATGTGGCCCTTGGGCCAAAAAGTTTGCCCACCCCTATTCTAGCTCTATTGAGAGTAGAGTCCCTACATACGTCATCATACTAATTAGGGCTGGTCTACACAGTTTTTGTACGGATTTAATTATTTCAGTTAGAACTATTTTGGTAAAAAAAACCACCTATCAGTACAATCTCATGTGTGGATACAGTTAGTTATGCTGCTATAAGAGTGCCTCATACCTGTATAGTTTATCCCCTAAATTTATGGGAGTACGCTGTACCAGTATAAGCACCTTTCTACCAATATAACTATGTCCACTTTAGAGAGTTGTACACCTTTAGCTATACTGGTTTCAAACAGGTATAGCTGAAGTGGTACAAAAGCTTTGTAGACAGTTCTTTAGAAACAGAGCCACTGGAAATCCATAAAGAAATTAAGAATTATTTTGCCCATCCCCTCTCTCTCCTCCTCCTCAAAATCTCACTAAATGAAATCTTAATTGGAAATTTCATGGGACAGCCAGCACCTCAAAACATTTTTTCTTGTCTATTTCTTTGCTTACATGCTTCACATTTTGTCTTGCTACCTGTGCACAGGAAATGACTCTCATCTTCAATACCCATTATTCTTTTTATATGGTGCAAGATATTGTTTGACATATTTTATTTCCCCGAAGCTGCTGATGAAATAGAAAGTTGCGTTATTTGATATAGTCGTGGTACTAGTTTGTTGCAGGAGGCAGCATAGTTTAGTACTGAAAAAATTGTCTAGGAGTCGGAATTCTGAGTTCTAGGGTAAAATTTTCGAAAGTGCCTAGATGACTTAGGAGCCTAAGGGCTTGTCTACATTGCAAATTACTGAGTGGCGAGGCAAGGTATCAATCTATATTGCACCATTTTGCTGCATAGTAACATTCCATGTGGCCCCTGCTACAGTGCATTAAAAATCCCAGATTACATCTCATTTCTCAGTATACACTGTCCCTAGAAGAGCAGCGAGGGTATTCTGCTTTGGGTGGCTGGAGAGCTTTGGTGCACCCAGAGGCAGCAAGCCCACTGACATACTCTTTTAAGGAGTGCAGCTTACAACTCCTCACACAGGCAGTCAGCTCTACTGGGGATAAAGAGTGGCTTGGCCCTCTGTGCATACCATGCATCTGCAGAATACTAGCAATTCTGGTCCCCACTAGAGCCTCCATATGCTGTTGTGATACCATACCAGGCTCCAAAAGCCCCAGAGCCAGCCATGGGAGAATTCCCCCAGTACGCTAATTGGGTTACGCTGCCACAAACTGCCCCACAAGATCCACTCTGTGGGCATGCTAGGGGCTGGAGAAGGGCCATAGTGCTGTGTCTTAGAGTGGTTCAGGACAGCCAGCGCTACCCGCAGGCAGCATAGGTATGCTGTTACACCCAGGGTTCAGCCCTCAGAGCAGCACAGAATTGGAAGGGTACAAAGGGGGCTTAAAGCTATCTTTGTCCCTACTTTTCGTGGGCTGCAAGGTTTGTTTTGTGCCTATAAGGGTATGTCTATGCTGCAATTAGACAACCATGCTGGCCCAGACCAGCTACTAGGGCTCATGGGACTCAAGCCAAGGTGTTGTTTAATTGCGGTGTATATGTATGGGGTTGGGCTGCAGCCCAAGCTTTGGAATCCTCCCACCTCCCAGGGTCCTAGAGCTTGGGCACACCACAATTAAACAGCCCCTTAGCCTGAGCTCCACGAGCCCAAATCAACTGGCACAGGCCAACCACAGATGTCTAATTGCAGTGTAGACATACCCTGTGAGGCACAGAACAAAAACAGCACAGCGTAATTTGCCATGGGATTCCAAGTAAATTAGCAAGGTTCTGACTTCTTAGCTGTATGTTATTTAGGACTGTTATTAATTCATAATAGTCTACTTTTGTCAGTGACTCATAATTCCAATGGTATATATTTTCCATTCAGTACTCATTCTGTTAGAGTCAGAACTCATATTAGATTTTGTTTGAAATTCTGCCTTTGCTGCACTTGGCATTTGTGTGCAGAATACATTAAAATGCAAAAATGTTGCTACATTAAATGCAGGATAAATTGTGAAGTAAAATTCTCCTACCAACATTGTAGTGAATGGTTTGTTCTCACAAGACGGAAAGGCAAAGTTTAAATGTTATGGTGTCTGTACAGTTATCTGTGGAGCTTTTAAGAATGGCTACTGGGATACTGTCAACTTTATGAACTGATTAATACATTAATAGTTAAAGGAGCTTAGGAAATGACATTTAAGCATTAAAACTGAAATCATACATACTTACCAGTGTCAGTAAGCATAGCATACATGTTTTGCTCTTGTACTGTAGAATCCTAACAGGGGCAAACCCTATTTGCTTACTCACACATGGAGATACATTGAAATCAACAGGTTTGTTCTGTACGTGCATGTGAGAAAATCTATATACAGAACTGCTGAGGATAGAAAAATGCTGAAATAATGTTTTAAAATGTCTGTTACAGAAGAGGGTTGAATCTTGCAAACTTTAGAAATGCAGGTCATACTCACTCACAGGAGTGGTCCCTCTGAACTAATTGTGCTGCTTGCATAAGGATGGCAGTATCCTGCCAAAGTAAGCAGCATGTACACAGAACTTGAATATACAATGGATGTATGCTTAACACATGGAGTGTGTACTTAATATTTATGCACAAATCAACTGTTTCACAGGATGAATTATGTCTTAGACAAGGATATAATTTGTTGTGACAACAATATGCTTGTATTTAGGACTATGCATTATACACAAATTTCCACAAGCAGCACAATAAATATTTTTCCAGAAACACCTCAAACAATCTAATCTTCAAGTATCCTTTTTATTAACCATCCACTTACCTTGCTGGATTTGTAATAGATCTTAGCCTCATTCGGAGAATCCTGAGCTTATATCTTGGGCCAATTAGAGTCCTTGTAGAATAAGTCAAGGAAATTCTTGATATTTTGTCAAAATCCTCATAAAATCCAACAAAGATACTGGCTTGTCTATACTGCTGAAATGTAGTAGCTTCACTAGAGAGAAAGTATAATACATTGTTGTCTGAGTCAGATCCACTGTTATTAAAAAAATAATCTTGGTAAGATGTCTTGACTTGTGGTTAAGTTCAGAACTGGGAGTCTGGAGATCTGAATCCAGATTCCCTGGTACATGTATCTACTTTACACCACATTACATGTGTAAACTGGCTCTTACCCTGCTGTAACTGACCAGGGACCACCACCCCAGTGTAAAGGAGGATTCTCCTGTGGGACAGAGCTAGCATAGGGATCAGAAAAAGAGGTATGGCCAGAGGAGATATGACCGAGATGTCACTGTCCCATGCTGATCCCTGGCTGAGTTATCAGTTATCAGTGAGTCAGTTTTCATTGGTGTACATTAGAGCATCCCTTAGGCTGCTTTAACCTAGTCCATGGTCATCAACCCTGCACAGAGGTGCAATAGGATCTTTAACCCACCTTTTAATATGCACACACCCTTAATACTCTATGCACTGTACAGAGCAGCCAAAGCCAGAATCTGGCCCCTAGATTTTATTCTGCCTCTGCCTCTGCTAAAGACTTCTGCAAGACATTTGGCAACTCTTTTAGGGACTAAATTTCAAAACCAGGTATGTGCAATTACACTTGCAATAAAACATATCCCATGGTGTACCTACTATGTATAGACAACTTCTACAGCTGAGCATACAAACTGTAAAATTACATACACAAAATGGCTAATTACATGTCTCACTTGCCATTAGGTGTACAATTATAAATTTATGTATGTTATCATGGCAATTGTGCACACAAATTAGGTACATATTAGTACATTTTTGTGTATGCTCTGTGATTCTGAACAGCAGGATCATAATTTCTGTGCTTCTGTTTCCTCCCCTTCAAAATGGAGAATATAATAATTATTTACCTACCTAGAGAGATTAAAGTAATTAATGTTTATAAAGTTCATTGCAATTTTTGGATGAGAAAACACTATATAAGTGTCAGACATAAGATATGTAAATATAAGTCACTTATATAGGACATAATTCTGAGCTCACACTAGCTTTTCCACTGAATGCATCCGATGAAGTGAGCTGTAGCTCACGAAAGCTTATGCTCAAATAAATTTGTTAGTCTCTAAGGTGCCACAAGTACTCCTTTTCTTTTTACTAGTTTTATGAGTGTCACTCCACTGACTTCAACAACGTTACTCCCAGTTTACACCTATGTAGATAGCAGGAGAAAAAAGCCTATATACACATATTACATGAAAATGTCTTCAGGTTCCAACAAATCTATGAAAGCCAAGACAAATCTGAGCTGCTGATACCTTAATTCAGCACTGTTGTTGCATGTATAATGGTAAATACTCTTTAAGAACATTTTTTACTTTCAATAATAAACAGCTTGCTATTGAACTGACTGCTACAAACAGTTTACTCAGTAACTTTTTAATGTAACTGGTAAGCAGTCACTGCCTCAATGTGTTAATTCACCATTCTGGGACTATTTTGACTCTATATGATAGTGGCATCCATTTTTATTTTAGATCTGTCAGTGAAAGGGACCATGATAAGTTTCTAGACATAGTATGGCTTTTCATTTTTATCTGAAAACAGAACAAACCTCAAATGATCCTCTACTACATAAGACTGTCCTATATTTACCCAACTCAGCACTTGCATTAACAGAACTTTTAATGGTTTTCTTCTTCTTCTTTTTTAAATCTATCCCAGTAGATTCTGCTGCAAGGTAAGGCAACTTTAGATAAATAAAAGATACAAAACCTGTTGAGTAAAATATGACTTACCTATTCATTTTTGATTCTGTTGTGTTTCCAGCATTGTCTGTTATTTTAATTCTAATGAAACCTCTCCTAATGCTTTTGTTCCAAGTAATAAAATCCACAAAGTAGTAATACACTGCAAAATAGAAACAGAAAATAATAATATTCAAAGATTGAACTTAACATCATGAATATAATTCCTGTTCTCTCCCTATTAAAAATACTCATTGGATGAGGATGATGACTCATTATCTCTCTCTGGGTTACTAGTTCAAATCAGAGCTAGAGGCTATTAATTAAAGTAGTTTCCATATGATGGCTATTCGGAGTTATGTGAATAGAGCCAGTGGCTTCCCCCAGTTCTTAGAAGGAAATGGTCCTGTCACTGGACTGGTCACCTCCTAAGCACCCCCTCGGGCCCAAAGGTTGTTTTCCATCTCTGTTTCTCTTTCCCCTCTTCTGAACCCCTTATGAACTTTACCCAGTCTTTTTTGTGGCTAATCCCACTCTCCCTTTGGGGCCTGTTTACTAACAAAAACATTCCAACAACAGTCTTCAGAACCCCACGAATAAAACCATTCACCACTACCCAAAAGTTCATACTCTGTTCTGGCTCTTTCACCATATTTGGAGCTCTTCCTCTATCTCAGTCTGTTTCCTCATCAGTCTGCCACTTGCAGTCTTTCCTACTAGGAGCTCAGCCTTCTAGCTTTGACTTCCTTCTCCTGCCAGCGTCTCTGCTGCAAGCGTCTGAGGGAGGTGGCAGCATATATACTGCTGTCCTACTGAGAGCTCCTCTGGGTCTGTGGTGAGACAGGGGCGCTCTGCCCCACTCTATACCACAGGGCTCCTGATTCCAGACCCTTAGTGTCCTGGGTTTTCCCCATCCAACTACTAACATCCTGGGACTCCTTCCTCTCTTCTGGCTTTGACCACAACCTGCTCCTTTTCTAGTTCCAGTGTCCCTGCAACAGGGTTTTCTGGCCTCCTCTAGGCCTAAAGGGCCAGGATACCTCATTACAGATGCACATCACAAAACAACCAGCACTACTGGTATTAAGAGTTTGATCCTGTATTCCATTGCTCAGCCAAAACTCTGTTCACTTCAATGGGAGCTCTGCCTGACAAAGGAATGAGAGGCCAGACTCTAACTGCCATCTTTGTTGGCAGCCTCCAGAGAGAGTGAATGAGAATGTTGTAAAGCAACCATGTCACCTCTGGAAGTAAAACTTCCAGAAAATAGTTGAGGTATATTGCCAGAATGTTGGAGGAAATTGGACTGCATTGTTGCTGCCAATGCAGTACCTGTTGTGTGGATAATCAGAGGAAAAGAAACTATTTGGGGCTGTTATACTTTTTTTAAGCACTAAATTCAATTAAAACTGTTTTGTTTATTTTGTTTTTTTAATATTCTTTGCTCAAAAAACAAGTCTCACTTTATATAAATGTTTTAAGTTTGTTTTCCCTATGTGTGTCTTAAGTTTTTAGTTTGATTGATCTCTTTTGTTTATTTCGTAGTCTCTCTTGGTTATTTGTTTCCTCAGTAACCCGTTTCCTTTTCAAATTCCTAGGGATTACCATAGGCTTCACTCAGTAATTACTCTGCTCTCCTGACTGATTTATTGGTCTAATTTCTCTGTTGGTTCTTGCTTATTAGTACTTTACTGTGCCCAGTTATGTCAGGGCTTCTTGTTCCGCTACATGTGTTTTGCTTATTACTGTATATGTACAGTACAGCCATGTTTCCTTCCTTTCCCACCCAAGCAAGTTCTATCACCCAGCCTCTCCTCTCTAACTAACTAGCCTAGCTCTCTGGCTCCCCTTTCCCTCCTGACAGTCCATCTTTCCCCATTATCCAGTGCAGCCGCATTTCTTTCTCTTTCCTGTTCAGCTCACTCATTGTTTACTATTCTGGCCAGATCATCCCTCTCCTTTCCCCATTCTATATACTGACACTTAACTGATGGTTTAGATTCTTTTTATTATAGTATTTTACAAGTCATATAGTAACAATGTTCAAAAATTTAATCAAGAACATGTCATCTTTTCTGGATCAGTTAATAATCAGTGACAAGTTTGGTAAGTGTAAAAAAGTAATGCATGGTCAGTCACTTACTGCAGAACGGTTCTTGGCCTGAGGTATCAAAATAAGCCTTTGTCTCGAGAGGGTCTTTTTGGATTAAATAGTTTTTCCATTTATCAGCAAAATAACCTGAAATCCAAATTTTATAAATTCAACATTACATTATTAAGCAAAATAGCAACAAATACAAAAGAGAAAATTACTGAAGGTTATACATTTTATCTTAATTTTTCAGTGCATTAACTGGGAAAGAAAACTGATTTGGAAAACATAGAAATCATCCAACCAGTCCAACAGATAATATATATCCTTTCAGTCTTCGGTAGGCCACTTAACATACTTCTCCTGCTATACTAAGATCATAAGAATTGTCATTCTGGATTAAAGCAGGGGACCATCTTGCTAGTATCTTATTCCAAAAGTGGCCATTGCCAACTACTTCAGAGGAAGATGTAAGAAACCTCCTACTGAACAACTAAGGAAAAGTTCCATAGGTAAAGTTTCTTCCTATTCTTCCCATAAATGATCAATTAGCTTATCACTGAATTATAAGGGTTGATATGCTTCCTAAGAATGTTGGGGTTTTTATCCTGTGTAATGTATTTGTGGATATTTTATTTTATAAATGTTTAATCCACTCTGAATCCTACTAAACTCTTGGACTCAATGTAAAAAGTATTTCCATTTTACCCATTTTTTAATTTTTTGCCAGTTAGTCTCATTGATTGTCTCCTTATTCTTGTGCTATGAAAGAGGGTACATGGGCATTCCTGATTTAACTTCTTTACCATTCATTATTTTGCATATTTCCATCATGCCCCTCTTATTCATCTCCTCTCTAAATGAAACTGTCCCAATCTTTTCAATCTCTCCCTAACCTTAAATTTCTACATGATTCTAATTATTTTTGTTGCCTGCCTCTGTTTTGGACTAGAAAGCCCAGTGAAGACAGTTTATATGGATTTAACCCCTGCAATGAATTTAGAGGCCTTTAAAAAAGCAGTCATAGCATTAAAACTTTAGATTATTTTTAGATGCTAGGTAGTTCTGCAAGCAACCCTCTTCGAAAGATCCTAGCTCACGAAAGCTCATGCTCAAATAAAATATCATGCACATTGTAGGGAGAGTGGTCACTTTGGATGAGCTATTACCAGCAGGATAGTGAGTTTGTGTGTGTGTGTTTTTGGAGGGGGGTGATGGGGTGAGAGAACCTGGATTTGTGCAGGAAATGGCCCACCTTGATTATCACATTGTGTAGAGAGTTGTCACTTTGGATGGGCTATTACCAGCAGGAGAGTGAGTTTGTGTGTGGGGGGGTGGAGGGTGAGAAAACCTGGATTTGTGCTGGAAATGGCCCAACTTGATGATCACTTTAGATAAGCTATTACCAGCAGGACAGTGGGGTGGGAGGAGGTATTGTTTTATGATCTCTGTGTGTATATAAAGTCTGCTGCAGTTTCCACGGTATGCATCCGATGAAGTGAGCTGTAGCTCACGAAAGCTCATGCTCAAATAAATTGGTTAGTCTCTAAGGTGCCACAAGTACTCCTTTTCTTTTTGCGAATACAGACTAACACGGCTGTTACTCTGAAACAGATCCTTTCAATGTCTCCAGTAATATTTACAGCAGGCTGCAATATGGAGACAAAGTCTAAGATACCTGAGAAACAACTATTTTCAATTAAGAGACTGCTATGAAAAAGTCACCAATACATTATTTGGCCCTTCCAGCTGAAAAAACAGACACCACCATGTAACTCTTACCCAGTACTGGACAAGGCATTGGTTGAAAAGCTTCACAGTTGGCACATTTTCCATTCTTATAATCCAAGTATGAATCACAAGGGTATGTTGTTATGTTGCAACTCCCTCTCAGGGATGACAGGAACAATAAAACAGATCTCTGATGGTCACATTTAACAAACTGAGATCCTTTAATTAAAAAAGAAAAATTAAATATGCAAGGAATATACACTGAATTATCTATTCCTAAAGAGAAACAATATTAGACACACAACAAAATAATCCCATTTCAGTTCTTTCTAATGACTACATTATTCCCTACTGCTCAGGGTTTTGCCTTTTTTTAATCAGTCAGAGGGAGAAGATTGACTTATGGTTTATTTGGCTACTAGCTTTCAAAGGTGAGGAATGGATTTATACCTATCCAAAAATAAAAGATGAGGAATTAAGGAGGAGCGAGAGTATACAATTGCTGAACAAGGGGGCAATGTACATAGAAACATAGAAAAAGTATTGTAGAGAGCCCTCTTGCAAAATTTATAGAGTTATTTCCAAGTCAAATTGTCAGGGAGAAAGCTCAGGGAGAAAGACCTTCTGGGAGCATCTCCTCATCAAGATTTCCCCCATGCTGTTCTTCTGGGGGGCTGTAGGGAGCCAGGGTGGCTTCCCTCCGAAGCAGAGGGTAAAGAGCCACCCTCTCAGCCTGAGTGGGCGGGGCCAGACCAAGCTTACGCCAATCCCCGGAAGGGAAGGGGTGGGACAGAAGTACAAAGGGCGGGGCCCTTTGTCCAGTGAAGAGAGCACCAGGGAGGGAGACAGACACAGGCTGCTGGCTGCTCCCTCGCAATCCTGCTGCCGACCCAGGGGAGGCCCTGGGCCAGGAGGAACCTGACCGGGAGGAAGGCCTGTAGCGTCCAGGACTGCCAGCCGCTGAGTACCCAGAGGACCTGGAGGGACCAGGCTGTAACCCGGGCCAGTGTGAGACCGACACAGAGGGGGAGCTGGAGCTGCCAGCAGCTGAATACCTGGACGAGCTGGAGGGACCAGAGAGGCCCGATTGAGAGACCGGGTAGGAAGTAGTCCAGGGGCAGAACTGCACCAGGGGGTGGGTGTATTTGGTCAGCGGAGCGCGGATGGCCCCCCACTGACCCAGCGGCGGGACCTTCGCCTCCCGCCACTGTCAGGGCCCTGGGCTGGAACGCAGTGGAGTTGGGTGGGCCTGCGTTCCCCTACCCCGGCCAACTTGCCTTGGGTAGCAGAATCGCACGCTACAGACTCGTGCCAGCGCTCCCCTGCCTAAGGGGCATGCTGCAGGGCTTGAGGGGCGCGCTACGGACTCCGGCCGGCACACCTTTTCTGCTAATTCCCTAGCGCCCAAAAGGTGTGACTAAGGCCTGCCTGTGGGACCCTAGTTCTCCATCGCCCCCTAGCGTCTCGGAGGACCGATTGAAACTTGTCACAAGTGGTGGAGAATGCGGGCAGTGATCCCTATCCCTGCAGCAAGGGGTTAGCGCGAGGGGGCCTCTGAAGCTCCCCTACTGGAAAGATGGAGCTGGAAAGGCTTATCAAGTTCCTGGCTGAGAGCCAGCAACAGCAGCAGCACCAACTCGTACAGCAGCTGGGTGCCCACCAGCAGCAGTTACTTCAAACCCTGGGGGCCCAGCACCTGACCAATGGGCGACCCTCCTCGCCCATACCTGATGGGGCTGGCCCAGAAGGCTTACCGTGGGCTCCCAGATGATGAGGCCCGCATTTATGCTCGAGTGAAAACGGCTATCTCGGATGCCTTCAACATTACCCCTGAGACTTTTCGGCCCAGGTTTCGGGAAAAGGTCTACCCACCGGGCGCCAGACCCCAAGCCATGGCCCAGGAATTGAAGGACGCAGGTAGCCAATGGCTACAACCCGAGCGTCGAACAGCAGCTGAGGTGACTGAACAGGTCATCCTCAAACAATTTGTGTACATCCACCCGACTCAGGAGAGGGCTTGGGTGTTGCGGCACCGGCCACAAAGTCTGAGCACAGCCGTCGGGCTTATGGAGGACTTTCTCGAGGCAGAGGCCCTGATAGGACCGGCCGCCTGCCCCCCAAACCCTGAACCCAATGCACAGAAACTTGAAAGGAGGGGGGCCCACCTCCCAAACCAACGCACCCCACCATACCTGACGACCACATGGCGGCAGGACCGATTTTCCCCAACGCCCCGAGTCCTCACCGCGCTCCGCCCCTAGATGCTTAACCCGACCACCTGGCCCCAGCCAAGTCTGCAGCCCCACCGGTGCACCCACGCGGCCGGGGCGCCCAGAGGTAGGACCTTGCTTTCGATGTGGCAAGTACGGTCATCTGCAATGGGGCTGTCCTGCGATGGACTGCAACTTTGGCCTGGTGTGCACCGGGGAGCGACGGGCCCGTCCGCCCTCTGTGGCCAAACTGACAGCTCCCATGGAAGTCGCCGGGATCCACGTGGTTGGTCTAGTTGATTCGGGCTGTGGGCAGACCCTTGTCCACCAGGAGCTCTTCTCGGACACCGAGCGGACCATTGGGGAAGTACGGATTCAGTGCATCCACGGAGACGTAAAATCATACCCCACAGTTCAGGTCCCCATCACAGTGAATGGAGCAACTCAGTTAATGAACGTGGCAGTGGCATCATCCCTCGCCTATCCAGTGATTCTGGGCCACGACTGGCCAGACTTCATAGAGGTGCTCCAACCCCTACCCACCAAAGAGGTGTTCAAGGGAGCTCCGCCTGAGAGGAAGACAGGACCCGACTCGAGGTCCGACCCAGGAGCTGACCAAGGTCCCACCCCCGGGCAGGATGGCCTGGCAATGGCTGGTCCCCCTCCTGACCTGGTGGACTTTAGTCGAGATCAAAGGGAGGACCCTACGCTCCGGTTTGTCTATGAGCAGCTGGCCCGGGTGGATGGTGAGGTCGTGGAGGCGCGGCGCACCACCCAATGGCCTAGGCTTGAACTCAACCACGAGCGGCTCTACCACCTTGACCGAGACCCCCAGACCCAAGAGGTCCGGACCCAACTCGTGGTCCCCCGCATTCATTGTTGGGCTGTCCTGAAGCTTGCACATGACATCCTGGCTGCAGGCCATTTAGGGCAGGAAAAAACTGTGGCCAGGGTCCTGGCCAGGTTCTTCTGGCCCGGCGTCCACCGTGAGGTGAAGGATTACTGTGTGTCGTGCCTGGACTGCCAACATGCAGCCCCAGCAGGGGTACAGAAGGACCCCCTGGTCCCTTTACCAGTCGTAGGTGTACCATTTGAGCGGGTAGCAATGGACCTGGTCGGGCCTTTTCCAAAATGTAAGGCAGGCCATCAATACATCCTTGTCCTAATGGACTATGCCACCCGCTTCCCCAAGGCCGTCCCCTTAAGAAGTATCACCGCCCGCACTATCGCTGCGGAGCTTGTGAAGATCTTCGCAAGGGTGGGCCTCCCACGGGAGATACTCACTGATCAAGGGACCAACTTCACTTCTAAGCTGGTCCGTCAGGTATGTGCCATATTGGGGATTAAGAAATTGCAGACCTTGGTCTACCATCCCCAGACTGACGGACTGGTTGAACGGTTTATCTGGTTAACTGGTTAACCAGACCCTGAAGGGAATGTTGCGGCGTTTCCCCACCCAGGACCTCCGCCAGTGGGACCAGCTGCTCCCTCCTTTACTACTGGCAATTTGAGAAGTCCCACAGGCGTCCACGAAGTTCTCCCCATTTGAGCTTCTCTATGGGCGGCGACCCCGCGGGGTGTTGGACCTCTTGAAGGAGACTTGGGAACACAACCCGTCCGCAACACAGGGTCTCTTAAAATACGTCTTACAACTGCAGGGGCGGCTGGTGCGGGTGGGCGAGCTCGCGAGGGAGAACTTAAACACAGTCCAAAGAGCCCAGGAGCAGCACTACAATCGGGGTGCCCAGGCTCGATCATTTGTGTCAGGGGACCAAATACTCCTGCTCCCCTTGGAGGAATCAAGCTTTTTGCCCACTGGCAGGGTCCGTATGAGGTCCTCTGCCGGGTAGGGCCTGTCACCTACGAAATTTGGCAACCTGGTCGCTATAAGGAAAAACAGATTTATCATGTAAACCTCTTAAAACCCTGGCAGGATTGGGAAGGACTCCTAGTTGCCCCGTACCTCCCCAAACCAGACTTGGGGCCCCAACCGCCCAAGGAGTCGGATAATGGTGAGCCCCAGCTAGCAGAGACACTCACAGTCGAGCAGCAAGAACAGGCACTCTGCTTAGTAAGGGCATTCCCCAAGACTTTCACCACGAAACCCAGGCGGACTATGCTCACCTTCCATGTGATCCAGACTGAACCCAGGGTGGTGGCCCAAGAGACAACCCGGCCATTGCCTAGGCGAATGCGGGAGGCTGTAGAGGAGAAAGTCCAGGCGATGTTGGATCTGGGTGTGATTGAGCGCTCCCAGAGCGAGTGGCGGAGTCCTGTCGTCCTCGTACCAAAGCCGGATGGGAGCCGGCGGTTTTGCATTGACTTCTGAAGGGTAAACGCCATTTCAAAATTTGACGCCTATCCGATGCCCCGAGTCAATGAGCTCCTTGACCAGCTCAGAGAGGCCTGTTATATCACCACTTTAGATCTCACCAAGGGGTACTGGCAGATCCCCTTGGATCCCAGGTCCAAGGAGAAGACCACGTTTGCCACCCCTTCAGGGTTGTACCATTTCACCCGGATGCCTTTCGGCCTCCATGGGGCCCCGGCAACCTTCCAGCGTTTGTTGCAACCACACACGAAGTACGTTGCGGCCTACCTGGACAATATGGTCATCTATGGCAATAACTGGGAGGAACATCTTAACCAAGTCGTGTTAGTCCTCCGGGACCTCCGCGCAGCCAGGTTTACGGCCAATCCAAAAAAATGTCGAATTGGGTGGGAGGAAACCACTTACCTGGGGTACACCTTGGGCCGGGGATGGACCCGCCCCCTCATCAGGAAAGTCCAAGCACTCCAGGAATATCCGGCGCCGACCACAAAGAGGCAGGTGCGTCAATTCTTGGGCTTAGCTGGTTATTACCGGCGGTTTGTACCCCACTTCGCAAGCGTTACAGCCCCGCTAACGGAGCTCCTGACCAAGCACAGCCCCCGCCGGGTGCATTGGTCCGATGAGTGCGAGACGGCCTTTCGAACTATCAAAGAGCGGCTGTGTAGCGATCCAGTAGTCTTCAGCCCTGACTTCCATCGTGACTTCATCGTTCAGATTGATGCCTCAGGTGTAGGCCTTGGGGCAGTCCTCTCACAGGAGGTGGACGGGGAGGAACACCCTATTGTTTACCTCAGTCGGAAGCTGTTCCCCAGAGAACGGAACTACTCCATCGTGGAGAAGGAGGCCCTAGCAGTTAAGTGGGCAGTCGATGCTCTCTGCTACTACATCCTCGGTGCCCCCTTTATACTGGTTACAGACCACGCACCTCTGAAGTGGCTTAATAAGATGAAGGACAATAATCCCAGGCTGATGCGGTGGTATCTAGCTCTGCAGCCCTATGCCTTCACGATTCACCATCGGGCGGAACGAGACAATGCCAATGCGGATTTCCTATCCCTCCTCGGAGAGGGTGAAGACGCCAGCTCCGAAGGTCGGGAGCTGGATTTGAGGGGTGGGGTATGTAGGGAGCCAGGGTGGCTTCCCTCCGAAGCAGAGGGTAAAGAGCCACCCTCTCAGCCTGAGTGGGCGGAGCCAGACCAAGTTTATACCAATCCCTGGAAGGGGAGGGGTGGGACAGAAGTACAAAGGGCAGGGCCCTTTGCCCAGTGAGAAGAGCATCAGGGAGGGAGACAGACACAGGCTGCTGGCTGCTCCCTCCAGACCCTGCTGCCGACCCAGGGGAGGCCCTGGGCCAGGAGGAACCTGACCGGGAGGAAGGCCTGTGGCGACCAGAACTGCCAGCCGCTGAGTACCCGGAGGACCTGGAGGGGCCCGGCTGTAACCAGGGCCAGCGTGAGCCCGACACAGAGGGGGAGCTGGAGCTGCCAGCAGCTGAATATCTGGACGAGCTGGAGGGACCAGAGAGGCCTGCTTGAGAGACCGGGTAGGAAGTAGTCCAGGGGCAGAACTGCACCGGGGGGTGGGTGTATTTGGTCAGCGGGCGTGGATGGTTCCCTGCTGACCCAGTGGCGGGACCTTCGCCTCCCGCCACTGTCAGGGCCCTGGGCTGGAACGCAGTGGAGTTGGGTGGGCCTGCGTTCCCCTACCCCGGCCAACTTGCCTTGGGTAGCAGAATCGCACGCTACAAACCCGTATCAGCGCTCCCCTGCCCGAGGGGCGCGCTACAGACTCGTGCCGGCATACCTTTTCTGCTAATTCCCCAGCGCCCGAAAGGTGTGACTAAGGCCTGCCCGTGGGACCCTAGCTCTCCATCGCCCCCTAGCGGCTCGGTGGACCAATTGAAACTTGTCACAGGGGCAAAATTCCTCTCTCCCCAAAAACTAGGCTGTAGGACTTTTCCATAACACTGCAGATGCCTGGGAATCCTAAGGGATTCTCAAGCATCCAGAGCCATCCACACAGGGCCCACCACAGCAGTTCTGGCCCCTTGTGGTTCCACATGGCCCTTGGCAGTGGGGCTCTGCTGTAGCCATCCTACCAGGAACTCTTCCTGGTCACAGCTGCCCAACAGACATCCCTCTTAATGGGCAGTCCCCACTGCAGAAGGGGTCTGTGGAAAGGCAATACAGCTGCAGCGTGTAATACTATATCACCTTTTCAATGTAAACTCCTTGAGAGAAGGATGTTGTACAACTGCTGGACCCCCAGCCTCTCATTCCTCCCCTGTCATGACTACATATACATATACAAAGATAGCAAGCATCTTACACACACGTATATATGGTAAGTAATAAGATACAGAAGGTATTTTGGTCTGAGAAGCCTCTTCTATCTGCTCACAGAGAGCTTTTTCGTCAAACTCTAGGTAGCAGTGTGCATGGACTAATTCTCATTCATCCAATAGCAGAGTGGGAAAGAAAAAGAATACACTGGGCTCAGCCATCCGAACAGTTCTATACATGTGTAACCCTTCTGCCCGTCAGAGTTGGCAGCAACAAGGGCCGGGTTCAGTATCTAGGGGATCCATTCCAATAACAAAATGCAAACCGGCTTGAGCCCCCACCCAGTGACCTGGGACAAATATATACCACCCCCGCTGGGCGCCTCCAAGAGGCAGTACTTCCCCTCTCGCAAGCACATAGTCTGAGTGTAGCAAAAAGCCTTTTAATAACAGAGGGAAACAATGTGGCATTATGTTGGGGAAACACCACCAACAGGATTCATAACACAACCCATGAGCAAAAAAACCCCACCGCAAGCAAATTGGGGCATGCCCCTTTCCCTTTGATTCTTGAGTCCAGCAACCCCAAATCACCCAAAGTCCCAAAAGTCCAATGACCCAAAAGTCTCTGTCCCTGGTCAGGGCAGCCCCAGAGTTCGAAAGTTTATCTGCGGAGCTTTACCTCCCAACCTGGGTGGAGATGGGACGGGGGTAAGAGGCACCTTACATGATCTGAAGCTGACTGCCCCACAGCTCCATAGGCATTCGCTTCGCTCCGCTCCACCAGCCGCCCCACAAACTCCTTCGCTCAGCTCCGCTCCGCTCCGTGGCCCACAAGCAGCTCCCGCCGTCCCACAAACTGCTCCACCAGCCGGTCCACAAACTGCTCCGTGTCCCACCAGTAGCTCCCGCCGTCCTACGAACTGCTCCACCAGCCTGTCCACAAGGCACTCCAGCCATCCCGCAAATTGCTCCACAATATATCTTCAGGCTCCCCCACTACTTAACACAACACTCAGTGATTTCAGCTCTTAGTCAGTTCAGCTCTTTGGTGAATTCAGCTTGTAGTAGGGGAGCCTCAGTGCTGGTGCACTATTAGCCCAAAGTGAGCTTAGCAGCCTGTAACTAGACTCCTAATGGAATCAAAATTAGCTCTGATATTCTACAGTGGAGAGTGGAGGAAGTGCAATTAGCATGTAAGGCCCACACCAAGGGGCCCATACCACCAAGTATTAATACTTGTCCCCAACCTCTCTCAATTCACAGAGTTTTAAAACCTATGACCCTTGCCTAGCGAGTGCTACTTAGTTGATGGTGAGTCCCTCCATCATAACAAAAGGCCAAGTACAGTTCCAAGCACAGTTCCCATAATCAGGGTAATAACAATTTATTCTTCCTGCCCCAATAACAGAGACACTGGGGATCTCACAGCAGCCAAAGTGACCATTTGGGCAGCTATGGCCTCATTCTAGGCGGGGTGGGTGTGCCTATGCAAATGAGATCGGCCCCTGAAGTTCTTTTCCCCAACTTGCCACACCTCACCACCAGATGTCAGGATGGAGCTCATCCTGACACTGCTTACACATGCAAACCCCCCTGAGTTCAGTTTTGCCTTACCAAACCTTAGTTGAGTAACTGTATACATCTTCTGCCATGCTCTTTTCTGAATTAAGATGAACATATCTTTATTTACCACTAAACGGTGTTTGTGGACAGCCAGGCTGATCTTCTCCTCCATTTGGATAGAAATCAATATTTCCTAACGGTTTCCTGTAGCCGAAAACTAAAGTAAAAACATCTGAGGTAATAAAGTACATCAATGGATTTTTCAAATTATAATTTATAATTGCACAATAATGTTTAATAAGGCTTCAAGGTAAATAAAAGTTTCTGGAGCTTATTTTCCTATTGTTCTGTACATACCTCTCCTATTGAGATAAACTGAATATGTTCCGCAAAAACAAGGAGGAGTCCTTGTGTCACCTAAGAGACTAACAAATTTATTTGGGCATGAGCTTTAAATAACACTAATAAATAACCACAAAAGCTTATGCCCAAATAAATTTGTTAGTTTCTAAGGTGCCACAAGGACTCCTCCTTGGTTTTGCTGATACAGACTAACACGGCTACCCCTCTGAATATGTTCCTTTTTTCTAGTTGCACTCTTTTTTTTTCTTCTAATCATGTTATTTTCTCTAAAAACAAAAGTAATGATATGCAAAAATCAGTGGGCTATATTCTAATCAGATATTTGCACAGTACTCCTGTGGTAAATAACGGAGGGTGTAGCTCCCTTTTATGGACATCCAGCCAGCCAGTTAGCTATAAAATCCCTGTTAGTAGCTATTCTCTACTTGCTTTACCTGTAAAGAGTTAAAAAAAAGTCCATAGGTAAAAGGAAGAGAGTGGGCACCTGACCAAAATAGCCAATGGGAAGGCTAGAACTTCTTAAAATTGGGAAAAAATTTCCCCTTTGTCTGTCTGTGGTTGTTCTCTGAAGAGAGGGGACAGAGCAGAGACAGGGCTGGAGCTATGCTGTAAAAAGCTGCGGGCCAGGTATGAAAATCACCAGATCATACCTAAAAACTACTCATTTGAAACCCCAGATATGTAAGTAGATCAGAAAATGTCCAGGAAGATGTGATTAGGTTTATCTCTTTTATTTCTTTATGGCTTGTGGACTCTTTTGTGCTAACCCCAGGTGCTTTTATTTTGCTTGTAACCTTTAAACTGGACCTCAAGAGAGCTATCTTGATGCTTAATCCTTCTAATTGTTTTTTTTTAATCTAGCAAAAAGCCTAAATTCCAAGTGTATTTTCTTTCTTTTTTGTTTTTAATAAAATTTACCTTTTTTTAAAGAACAGGATTGGATTTTTGTGTCCTAACAGGTTTGTGCATATGTTGTTTAATTAGTTGGTGGCAATGGCTGATTTCCTTTGTTTTCTTTCTCATCTCTTCCCTGGAGGGGAGGGGGGGCGAAAGGGCTTGAGAGTACTCCACAGGAAGGAATTCCCAAGTGCTCCTTCCCTGGGTTCCAAAAAGGGTTTTGTTTGCAGTTGGGTGGTAGCAGCATCTACCCATCCAAGATCAGAGAGAAGCTGTAACCTTGAGAGTTTAACACAAGCCCGGACTGGTCAGTATTAATTTTTAGAATCCTTGCGGGCCCCCATCTTCTGCACTCGAAGTACCAGACTGGGGAATCAGCCTTGACAACTCCCATTGACACCAATGAGATTGCCATGCATGGAATAAAAGAAGACTAGAGCCCTATGTTTACGTAGTGTTGTGGCTCAGATTTAATTGCACAAAGGTCAGGAAATTCAGAGCTCTGGTTCGCCTCAGCAATCAAAATTCTGCACCCATGTTAGTTTAATTAGGGTTTTTCATTCTATGCTCACAACACTGAGCCCTGAGATAAACTAGCAGACTACAATACAATGTAGCAGAATGGAAAGGAACTGCTTTCCAGTCTTCCTATCCCCCCCAAAGACTCTCACTGATTTTAGTGGGCTTTGGATTAGATCCATATACCTTAAACATACATATATACAGTAAAACCGCAGAGTTATGAACACCAGAGTTCTGAACTGACTGGTCAACCACACACTTCATTTGAAATTGAAAGTACACAATCAGGCAGCGGCAGAGTCAAAAAAAAAAAAAAGTTAAAAGTAAACTACTAAAAATATGAAGGGAAAGTTGGTTTTCTTCTGCATAGTAAGGTTTCGAAGCTGTATTAACTCAATGTTCAGTTATAAACTTTTGAAAGAACAACCATAACATTTTCTTCAGATTTACAAACATTTCAGAGTTACAAACAACCTCCATTCCTGAGGTGTTCATAACGCTAAGGTTCTACTATACTTATTCATTTTACTGCATATGAGCTTTGTTTACAACATCAAGGTGTTTTAAAGATTAATGTTTTAATATGCCTTAATATGTAAGTCAATACATTAATGTTAACTGTTAATATTATTATTGAGAGACCTTATTGTGATACATATGACCAAAGCACAGAGATGCAAGATTTTCTGTGCTTTTAAAAATCATCAGAACTAATTATTCTTTGGCAGACTTATGGTGCTGTGGGAATCCTAACTGACTTTCTTGATTTTTGTATAATAAAAATCTTGATTTCAGCATTACACTAATGTGGTTCTGCTCAGGATTCTCAATAATGGCTCTAAATCCATCCTCAGTTAAAGTCCATCCTCCACAGAAGTCAAAAGGAGTGGTAGTTGCCTATCTGACAGAAGAATTTGGTCCTGTGGTATTAAAGTGTTCACAATTCTCGTATGTGTATGGACATGATGTGAGTATTGTACAAATTATCTTAATGCTTAACTAAGAGAACCTACAAAGAACACAGTGTGAATTGACCCATTACATTTACACATATTTTGATATCCTGGGGAGACTGCATGAATTCTTCTTCCTTCAAAGTGCATTTACTGGAACAATATAGACATAAATTACTGGAAAATAGTCTACTTCTCAGTGTCCCATGAACAAAAGGAGAGTTGTGTGGGAGGGAATCAACCTACACCTTTGTTGATTTTTTAAATTAAAAAAGTCCTGATACTAATTAGTTTTGGATCTAGAGCTGAAACCCTTAGGTCGCTCAAAATAGTCCAATTGATGACAACCAAACCCTTCATATAAGAACAGAAGGATTGGGCCCTTCATCTCTAAATATCATTAGTAAAAGGCCATATTCCATTTTCAGTTTGAACAGGCACATAGGGACTTATTTAATGCCACTGAAGTCAATGGAAAGACTCCCATTGAGTACAATGGGATCAGACCCTTCGATAGCAACAACTCAGAACTGCTCCTGTTTATCAGTATGAACCAGAACAACATTACTTAGATGCTCCTAATTGACTTTCTCCCCTCCTCTTTCCTACTCCTGCATTCCAGGTTGTATATTTCCTCCTAAACTCAAACAGGAAAGTATAAGCTATGTCATTACCATCCATATCAGTATGAATGACATCAACAAACTGTGCATCTGTATGATCCAATCTCTCACTTGGTGGTTTCCCACTGAATAAAGGGCCAGCTGGGTCAAGACCTGAAAGAAAAGAAGGATCATGTGGGCATTATTTTTCTAGGGCTCTATTTCAATAATAATTTTTAATCTAATTTTTTCTCAAATGTGGCCACCATGGCTGCATGCGGCCACCAGAGGCTTTTTGTGTGGCCACAGCCTCCTGGGTGGTGATGCGGGGGTGCGGGGAAGCGGTGTTAATAAATCTACAAATATCACTTTTCATAGAAACAGACTTACTTACTAGCAAGTCTAAAAAATAAGGCAATCAAAAAAACAAAAGAAACAACAACAACAACAAAAGACAAGAATATGCAAAGTACATTATTTGTTTCTATTCTGTTTGGGTCCAGTAAAAAATAAGACAACTGTACATTATTATTACTGAGTATGCAATAAAAACTTACATAAATAAATTACAATGATTTGGATGTGTATATGTCCATATTTATCTGTTTTTCCTTAAGTTAATTAAATATTTTAGGAAAAATTGTCAGAGTGGCCACCAGCAAGAGTTGGTGTGTTGGATCATATTAAAGAAGTTCTGTATTAAAATCACAAATGAATTTGATTCCCCATAGTTTAAATTCCAGGGTATTACTAATTAAGAGGTCTCTTGGTTTTTGGTACTGTTTCTCTCCCTCTATGTGTGAAACTTGCAAGCTGCTAATTGCGTTAGTACATTCTAAGACAGAGTCTGTTCTCAAAGCAATTCACACAGAGAGAGACTCAGAGCAATACTCTGTAACAACAGAAACAGCACCCAGAGACTCCCCGCCCTTTTGTTGTACTAACAATTGTGATTAAAATAGAGATAGAGGATGTATGTGGATGGATGCTTGGTGTGGATAATAACTGAATGATCAGGGAGGTGCCAGCCTAAGAATCCAGTGTCCATCGGCTGAAGAAGGTGTCAAGTGGAAATACCCAGAGGACCCCCCCGGAGGGCAGACTGGAATCCACCCAACAGCCTCAAGAATGGGAGAACCAAAGAACAAGATAACATCTAGCAGCACGGAGCCGTCAGGAATGTGCTATCTGCTGATTGATTCACCAACAGCATGATGAAGCAATTCCCATAGACTGGCATAGGAAGGAATTCCTATAAAAATGGACTCTAGAAAGTGAGAACTTTGAGTCTCCAGTTCTGCCACTACACTTCAGGAGCATCGGATGTGCATCTGACACGGACTCGGCTCCACTCTCGTGTACAGGCTACCTGGCCAGTACTCTGTCACGAGCAACTTCTAGGCTGGTAACTATAACCCCTATGCAGAACTGGTATGAATGAATGAATGAATGAAAATATAGTTAAGTAAGGAATAAGTAACAATACAACAGTGTGAGTTTTATATATATTTCTTTTTATTATTCTATTTACAATAAATGTGGCATTTTGCCTTGTCCCTTTAATAAGATCCTGCTGGTTTTTATTTTATGGGTATAACAGGTGGTATAACAGGCTGCACTCTGAGACCTCAAAAAATTTCTTGTGAGATCCCGCCAACACCCATGTTTGAATAGATGCCTTGACAATCTACTTTAACACATAGTTCACGCACAAAGACTCATCCTTTTCTGGGTTTGTCTATATTAATAAATTAACAATGCAGTTCAAGCCTTCACTCCAGACTTAGTATCTCCTAGGGTTCCTACTACAGGGCTGCTCAGTCCACATCCTAGATTCTCTCCACCCAAAGAGCCACTCCCACCTCACTTTTATCTAGGGGAGTAACAAGCCACCGACACCAGTGGTTCTCAAACTAGGGCCGCTGCTTGTTCAGGGAAAGTCCCTGGTGGGCTGGGCCGGATTTGTTTACCTGCCGCGTCCGCAGGTTCAGCCAATCGCAGCTCCCACTGGCCGCAGTTCGCCGCTCCAGGCCAATGGGGGCTGCGGGAAACTGCGCAAGCCGAGGGATGTGCTGGCCGCCCTTTCCGCAGCCCCCATTGGACTGGAGTGGCAAACCGCGGACAGTAGGAGCCGCGATCTGCCGAACCTGCAGATGCAGCAGGTAAACAAACCGGTCCGGCCTGCCAGCAGCTTTCCCTGAACAAGTGGAGGCCCTAGTTTGGGAACCACTGATCTACACCATGGTTCTGAGTCAGTAGAACCACTTTATTCTTTCCCAACAGAAACAATGTCTGCTAAGTGAGTGGGGTATTTCAGGCAAAAAATTCCAGACAGTGACACCAAAAGCACATGGTATAACATTTGCAGTGGTCCTGGTTCCAAACGAGCCATGCCCCATTTATAGGTTTGTATTGAAATTATCTGAAATTTGTGGTTAAACAGTTTTAGCGCAAAACCAGGTGAAACTAGTCAGGTTTTGACTGAGTTTTCATTTGAAATTTAGTATTTGTGAATCTGAAATTCAGAGAATGACAGGTGTGAACACCCAAAGATCAAAACAGAAGAAGCTAGTTTCTTGAAACTTGGTGAATTAAATGGCTTAGCTTTGTTCATCTCTGCCACAAATCCCTCAAATGTAGGGTCTCCATGCTGTATTTTTATGCACCCATATTCCACTGATATTAACATGCATCCAAACCTCCCACTGAAGTCAACAGGAATTCTGAAATACATACAATGCTTGATCAGGCCCTAAGGCCTAAAATTAGGTTTGTAAATCCATATTTAAGCTCCTCTAAAGCAAGTGGCCTGATCTGCGAGGGTGCTAGGCACTTGCAACTCCCATTTAGGATTCTAACTTTAGTCCGGTAGGTTTGAACATTTTGGTCACAATTTTTTTTTCCCCAAAGTGACTTAAATCCTAGGCTGAATTTTTGTAGTGGATTAAAAAAAAAATTTAACATATTTCTAAATACTGTTTATGCTACTGTTATATTGGGTCAAATTAATCTCTGGATTTACATCAAGGATGCATTTGATCCATTGTCTTACTAAATAATTTAATCGTGACGTATGTGTTGATTTTTCAACGCTGGCACCCATATGGTATGCAGCTAACTCAGACAATGATGGAAGATAAACTAGAATGGGGGTGGCAGATTTAAAAGTCTTACCTGTAATTCTGCCAAGTTTACCGTTATACATCTCTCCAACAAATCCAGCTATATGAGCCCCAAGGCTAACTCCAATCATATAAATAGAGTCAAGAGAAGCTCCAACTGCCTGTCAGTAAAAAAAAAAAAAAAAAAAAAAAAGGCGTGATTATGGGTTATACAAATGTTAACCATAAGGTTTACAATATGGTTAGCTGAATAGACTTCAGTAAACTAAGTTTTACTATTTACTTTTCCTTAAAACTTTAGGGGGGTGTCAAGGTTCCTCCCCCACTCTGAACTCTAGGGTACAGATGTGGGGACCTGCATGAAAAACCTCCTAAGCTTATCTTTACCAGCTTAGGTCAAAACTTCCCCAAGGTACAAAATATTACACCCGTTATCCTTGGAATGGCCGCTACCACCACCAAACTAATACTGGTTACTGGGGAAGAGCTGTTTGGACGCGTCTTTCCCCCCAAAATACTTCCCAAAACCTTGCACCCCACTTCCTGGACAAGGTTTGGTAAAAAGCCTCACCAATTTGCATAGGTGACCACAGACCCAAACCCTTGGATCTGAGAACAATGAAAAAGCATTCAGTTTTTACAAGAAGACTTTTAATAAAAAATAGAAGTAAATAGAAATAAAGAAATCCCCCCTGTAAAATCAGGATGGTAGATATCTTACAGGGTAATTAGATTCAAAACATAGAGAACCCCTCTAGGCAAAACCTTAAGTTACAAAAAAGATATACAGACAGAAATAGTTATTCTATTCAGCACAATTCTTTTCTCAGCCATTTAAAGAAATCATAATCTAACACATACCTAGCTAGATTACTTACTAAAAGTTCTAAGACTCCATTCCTGTTCTGTCTCTGGCAAGAGCAGCATACAGACAGACCCTTTGTTCCTCTCCCTCCTCCCAGCTTTTGAAAGTATCTTGTCTCCTCATTGGTCATTTTGGTCAGGTGCCAGCGAGGTTACCTTTAGCTTCTTAACCCTTTACAGGTGAGAGGAGCTTTCCCCTGGCCAGGAGGGATTTCAAAGGGGTTTACCCTTCCCTTTATATTTATGACACGCCCCCCAAATCTCAGCTAGGGTGAAACACTGGCTGGGATTTCTTCCTGGAGCTCTAGGAAAAACAGAGTTAATAAGACACATGCATCTCTAAATATACTACCAAGTACATAAAGACTAACAATATTTTCCACATCTCAAGGACGATTTTAACCAGTTGACTCTGGGAAACTTTCACGGGAGAGTGCATCAGCCACTTTGTTAGAAGCTCCTGAGATGCGTTGGATGTCGAAATCAAAATCTTGGAGAGCTAAACTCCACCGAAGAAGTTTTTTGTTAGTTTCTTTGACGGTGTGAAGCCACTTTAGTGCAGCATGGTCGGTTTGCAGGTGGAAACGCCGTCCCCAAACATATGGGCGTAGCTTTTCCAGAGCGTAGACAATGGCATAACATTCTTTTTCAGTGACTGACCAGTTGCTTTCCCTCTCAGACAGTTTTTTGCTGAGAAACACTACAGGGTGGAATTCTTGATCAGGTCCTTTCTGCATTAAAACTGCTCCCACACCACGCTCGGACGCATCTGTGGTTACTAGGAACGGTTTGTCAAAGTCTGGGGCCCTTAGTACAGGGTCAGACATGAGTGTCGCTTTAAGCTTGTTAAAGGCCTTCTGACACTTTCCGGTCCACTGAACAGCATTTGGCTGTTTCCTTTTGGTTAGGTCTGTCAGTGGGGCAGCGATTTGGCTGTAGTGCGGTACAAATCGTCTGTAATAACCAGCCAAGCCTAAGAAGGACTGAACCTGTTTCTTTGACTTTGGGACAGGCCACTTTTGGATAGCATCCACTTTGGCCTGTAGGGGGCTGATAGTTCCTTGACCCACCTGGTGTCCAAGGTAAGTCACTCTGTTTAGGCCTATTTGACACTTCTTAGCCTTAACAGTTAGTCCTGCCTCCCTTATGCGCTCAAGGACTTTTTGTAGATGTTCCAGGTGGTCTGCCCAGGAATCCGAAAATATGGCCACATCGTCAAGGTAGGCGACTGCATATTCTCCTAATCCCGCTAGGAGACCATCTACAAGTCTTTGGAAAGTGGCGGGTGCATTTCGCAGCCCGAAAGGGAGTACATTAAATTCATACAGCCCGAGATGTGTGATGAAGGCTGACCTTTCCTTGGCAGATTCGTCTAGCGGTACCTGCCAGTACCCCTTGGTTAAGTCCAAGGTAGAGATGAACTGGGCCCGTCCCAGTTTCTCTAATAGTTCATCTGTGTGTGGCATTGGGTAGTTGTCTGGGCGAGTTACAGCATTTAGCTTACGGTAGTCCACGCAAAAACGTATTTCCCCATCTGGTTTGGGAACTAGAACCACTGGAGATGCCCATGCACTTTCAGAGGGGCGGATTACCCCCATCTGTAACATATCCTGGATCTCCCGTTCTATAGCAGTTTTAGCTTGAGGAGACACCCGGTAAGGTTGAACCCTAATTGGGTGAGCATTACCTGTGTCAATGGAGTGGTATGCCCGTTCAGTCAGTCCTGGGGTGGTTGAGAACGTTGGCGCGTAGCTAGTGCACAGCTCCTGGATCTGCTGTCGCTGCATACGCCCAAGGGTCATGGAGAGGTTCACCTCTTCCACACCACCACCACATTTCCCTTCGTAGTAGACACCTTTGGGCCACTCAGCGTCGTCTCCTCCCTGGGCTGTAAACTGACAAACCTTTAATTCTCTGGAATAAAAGGGCTTTAGAGAATTAATATGGTACACCTTAGGCTTTCGGTTGGAGGTGGGGAATGCTATGAGATAATTAACAGCTCCCAGGCGCTCCTGGACCGTGAATGGCCCTTCCCACGATGCTTCCATTTTATGGGCCTGGAGCGCCTTTAAGACCATGACCTGGTCTCCTACTTTGAAGGAACGCTCTCTGGCATGTTTATCATACCAGGCTTTTTGCTCTTTTTGAGCATCCTGTAAGTTTTCTCTAGCAAGGGCTAAAGAGGTTCGGAGGGTGTTCTGTAGGTTGGTTACAAAGTCCAGAATGTTAGTTCCTGGAGAAGGTGTAAATCCCTCCCATTGCTGCTTCACCAACTGCAATGGCCCCTTAACCTCACGGCCATATACAAGTTCAAATGGGGAAAACCCTAAACTGGGATGTGGTACAGCTCTGTAGGCAAAGAGCAACTGCTGCAACACTAGGTCCCAATCATTGGAGTGCTCATTTACGAATTTACGTATCATGGCCCCCAAAGTTCCATTAAACTTCTCCACCATGCCATTTGTTTGATGATGGTAAGGAGTGGCAACCAAGTGATTTACCCCATGAGCTTCCCAAAGGTTTTTCATAGTTCCTGCCAGGAAATTAGTCCCTGCATCGGTGAGGATGTCGGAGGGCCAACCTACCCTGGCAAAAATGTCTGCTAGTGCCTGGCACACACTTTTAGCCCTGGTGTTGCTTAGAGCTACTGCTTCCGGCCATCGGGTGGCAAAATCCATGAAAGTCAGTATGTACTGCTTTCCTCTGGGTGTCTTTTTCGGAAAAGGACCCAGAATATCCACAGCTACTCGCTGAAATGGAACTTCAATGATGGGGAGTGGCTGGAGAGGGGCTTTGACCTGGTCTTGGGGTTTTCCCACTCTTTGGCACACCTCACAAGACTGGACATAGGTAGAAACATCCTTGCCCATTCCCTCCCAGTGGAATGACCCCCCCAAACGGTCTTTGGTCCTGTTCACCCCAGCATGGCCACTAGGGTGATCATGGGCTAAGCTCAAGAGCTTGGCCCGGTATTTAGTTGGAACTACCAACTGTCTCTGAGGATGCCAGTCTTCCTGGTGTCCACCAGAAAGAGTTTCCTTGTATAAAAGTCCTCTTTCTATAACAAACCTGGATCGATTAGAAGAGCTGAGAGGCGGTGGGTTGCTCCGTGCCGCCGTCCAAGCTCTCTGGAGGCTTTCATCTGCTTCCTGTTCGGTCTGGAACTGTTCCCTTGATGCTGGAGACATCAGTTCCTCATGGGATTGTGGACCTAGGCTTGGTCCCTCTGGAAGCGATATAGGGGATGGAGCTGTTTCTGTTGACTGTGAACCGCTCTCCGCTGGTGCACTATGTTGGGATTCAGGCTCCGGCTGAGCCTCTTGTGTAGGGTTATCGGCTGCTGCCAGTTCAGGTTCGGTGGGGCCCTCTGGTGTTGAGGTTGCAAGTACTGGATTCAGTGCTGACACGGGGTCTGGTGTTGGTTGTTCGGCTGGTTCCGGTTCTGGGACTGGTTCCGTCTGGGTCTCTGGGACTGGATCCACTACTGCTGTTGCAGACATTGGCCTGGGGTCCAGGTCCATCACCTCTGACTGGGTCCTGATAGAAGTTTCTGGAACAGAGCTAGGCCTCACGGCTTGTTTAGCCTGGCTGCGGGTGACCATTCCCACCCTCTTGGCCTGCTTCACATGATTGGCCAAGTCTTCCCCCAACAGCATGGGGATGGGATAATCATCATAGACTGCAAAAGTCCACATTCCTGACCAGCCCTTGTACTGGACAGGTAACTTGGCTGTAGGCAAATTGAAAGAGTTGGACTTGAAGGGTTGAATCGTCACTTGGATCTCTGGGTTGATTAAATTGGGGTCCACTAAGGAAGCATGGATAGCTGACACTTGTGCTCCGGTGTCCCTCCACGCGGTGACCTTCTTCCCACCCACACTCACAGTTTCCCTCCGCTCCAAGGGTATCTGGGAGGTATCTGGGCCTGTGGACCTCTGGTGTGATTCCGGTGCAATGAACTGTAATCTGTTGGGGTTCTTGGGGCAGTTGGCCTTTACATGCCCCAGCTCGTTACACTTAAAACATCGTCCAGCTGACGGGTCACTGGGGCGAGGAGGGTTGCTGGAGAACGGGGTGGTGGGACGATAAGGGGTCTGGGGGGTTCTTTGGGAGGTAGGTGGGGCTTTGGGCGGCCCCCCGGTAATAAGGTGTGGTCTGGGGTGGTCCCTTCTGGTCTCCGCTCCAACTGCGACCAGTTTTCTTCTTCTCTGCCACCTCCACCCATCTGGCTCCAATCTCTCCTGCCTCAATTACAGTTTTGGGTTTCCCATCTAGGATGTATCTTTCTATTTCCTCAGGAACACCCTCTAAGAATTGTTCCATTTGCATTAGGAAGGGCAAATTTACTGGAGATTCAACACTTGCTCCTGATATCCAGGCATCCCAATGTTTCACAATGTGGTAGGCATGTCGGGTAAATGACATGTCTGGTTTCCACCTTAGGGCTCTGAACCTCCGACGAGACTGCTCGGGTGTTATCCCCATTCTGACTCTCGCCTTGGATTTAAACAGTTCATACTTGTTCATGTGTTCTTTAGGCATTTCAGCTGCCACCTCAGCTAAGGGTCCACTGAGCTGCGGCCTCAGCTCTACCATGTATTGGTCAGCAGAGATGTTGTACCCAAGGCAGGCCCTTTCGAAGTTTTCTAAGAAGGCCTCAGTATCATCACCTGCCTTGTAGGTGGGGAACTTTCTGGGATGGGAAGTGGTACCTGGAGAAGGATTGCTAGGGTTTGGTGGTATATTCTGCTGGGCCTTTATCCTCTCCATCTCCTCCACATGCTTCCTCTCTTTTTCCCTCTCCTCCTCCACATGCTTCCTTGCCTCCATTTCTTGTTCCTTCTTCAGCTGCATGAGTTCTATCTGTCTTTCATGTTCCCTTTGTCTTTCCTCAGCCTGAAATTTGGCTAATTCCAGCTGTAGTCGAGCTGAGGATTTGGCCATTCTAACCTCTCTGTTTTTAACTAACTTTACACCCGAGGTTTAGAAATAAACAAACAAAACTTGGCTGTAAAATTTTGCTGTGCTGGAATAGAATACCTATTCTCTGATAGTGATTGTCAGCCTACAGAAAAAGACAATTCCCTTGTCTCTGCTCTGGGCCCAAATTAAAGCAAAAAACCTCCAACTGCTTGGAAACCTGCTTACCCAGCCCAAAGAAAAAGCAAATGGGTAGAACACACACCCCCTATTTACTTTTAGGAAGAAAAGAAAAAAAAAAAACAATGGGTTGGAAGACTGTGAATTTCCCTGCAGGAGTTAAGTACCCTGCCTCCAGGCAAAAAAACCTGCAATTCACAAGATAATCCCCTTTTGTCTCTGCTTGGCCACAAAGCAGAGAGAAACCAAGCTGCTTTCAGTTTCAAAGCTGCTTCCTGGACTTTCTTTCCAAAGAAAAAAAAATTTCCTTTTTAAAATCTGTATTTCTAGTTCAAAAAATCTCAACTGGATCTCAAATGATTTCAGGTTAATCCCACCACTGTGCCACCATGTCAAGGTTCCTCCCCCACTCTGAACTCTAGGGTACAGATGTGGGGACCTGCATGAAAAACCTCCTAAGCTTATCTTTACCAGCTTAGGTCAAAACTTCCCCAAGGTACAAAATATTACACCCGTTATCCTTGGAATGGCCGCTACCACCACCAAACTAATACTGGTTACTGGGGAAGAGCTGTTTGGACGCGTCTTTCCCCCCAAAATACTTCCCAAAACCTTGCACCCCACTTCCTGGACAAGGTTTGGTAAAAAGCCTCACCAATTTGCATAGGTGACCACAGACCCAAACCCTTGGATCTGAGAACAATGAAAAAGCATTCAGTTTTTACAAGAAGACTTTTAATAAAAAATAGAAGTAAATAGAAATAAAGAAATCCCCCCTGTAAAATCAGGATGGTAGATATCTTACAGGGTAATTAGATTCAAAACATAGAGAACCCCTCTAGGCAAAACCTTAAGTTACAAAAAAGATATACAGACAGAAATAGTTATTCTATTCAGCACAATTCTTTTCTCAGCCATTTAAAGAAATCATAATCTAACACATACCTAGCTAGATTACTTACTAAAAGTTCTAAGACTCCATTCCTGTTCTGTCTCTGGCAAGAGCAGCATACAGACAGACCCTTTGTTCCTCTCCCTCCTCCCAGCTTTTGAAAGTATCTTGTCTCCTCATTGGTCATTTTGGTCAGGTGCCAGCGAGGTTACCTTTAGCTTCTTAACCCTTTACAGGTGAGAGGAGCTTTCCCCTGGCCAGGAGGGATTTCAAAGGGGTTTACCCTTCCCTTTATATTTATGACAGGGGGGTTCTGACTTTTAAAAATGATGGATTTTAAGTGTCTTTTTTATTAACTAGTTATACTGTACAGTAGTTATAAAAATGTAAGAAGGAGGCTGGTAACCTTTCTTCCAGGCTATCTCATTGATTTATTTTTGAAGAAGAGACAGAGTGTTATCAGATTCTCTAGAAAGGTGAACTCCTAAAACCGTCAGCTAAAAGCAACCCTAACCCCATCCCAATACAATTAAAAAAATACTACTAAGAAGCTCTGATATCACATGGCCAGTTCAGCAAGGCTACATCTGTAGGAACTCCTGAGAGGAGGCAATGCTTACCACATTCAGTAGGTGACTTTAAAAAAAAAAAAAAAAAAAAGCTATTCCAGGACTCAGAGGCAATACCAGCAGATCTAGAGCCTGCAAGGCCATGGGATTGAGAACTTCTCTCAATCAGTCCTAGAGGTATGATATATTATTCCTGGTCTGGAGGTGAATTAACAACTAAATGGCTGCATAACAATCATTTTGTCAATATGACGTTTGGAGTCCTGGGCCTTAACATCTTTACCCCTACTTTTTATCCCCCTTGTGAACATTTTACTGTAACACAAGTTGTAGCAGAGCAAGATCTGCTCAGTGCATGTGGTGCAGCCACTGTTCCACTAGGTAGCCTACTTGCTTCCTGGTTTCAGAGTGGCAGCCGTGTTAGTCTGTATCAGCAAAAAGAACGAGGAGGACTTGTGGCACCTTAGAGACAAACAAATTTATTTGAGCATTAGCTTTCGTGGGCTAAACCCCACTTCATCGGAAGCAGTAGGAATCCCTGCATCAGGGATCTGGGATTATGCAATATGTAGTCCTGTCTACCCCAGTATGGGACTGTGCCTACATTCTTATAATTATTTTAGTCTTATGTCAGTTTTCCACCATATTTTTGTAAATTAGCTAGTGCAACCCAATCAGCATTAGCTGATCCCAGAGGCCATGTGGTGTGCCATATCTTCTGTCCTCTCTTCTTACCACAACCCACTTTTTTTCTCTGTTAACATTTGTGCAGATATTTTCTTGTTACAGAATCTTCAAACTTTCTGAGAATGCTCAGGATGGGAAGTGATGGGGATGGAAGAATTTCAGACAATAACATTGATAATTGAATAAATGAGACTTTAAATTATTTTGGTCCATTTAATTAAGTACTGATCCAAAACCTAGTGAAATACATCGGTGGGTCTTTCCACTAACTTTGTGGGCTCTGGCTCAGACTTTTATTCATCAACAATTGTTTTAGCTGCTCCTGTTAGCACTGGGAGGTATATAAAATATTTTGTACAATGGAGAACTGTTTTTTAACTGCCTTGTATCAATGATTTCTGATAAACATTCCATATAAGTAATATTCATAAGTGGGCTTTCTTTGAACCTCATTTAGTACTTAAAGGAGTACCTGATGCAACAATTTTTAGCAATGTAATGGTCTAGAGTTTTGCATATCCTTCACATGACCTTTCTCCTCTGAGATAGCAGCTCTTTGCTTAATGCAGATGAAACTCCTTGCTGACAAAGTGATTCAAATATAACCTCAGTTCCATTGAAATAAAGTGCCCAAACCCCTTTTGACGTCAGTGGGAGCAGATGTGAGAACAAAGATATGTAAGTGATGCAGTGATAACTTCATGCAGTCACTAATGTAAGCATTTTGGTACAGACATTTCAAAGTATGGTATTTATTGTGTTCTTTCTGAGACCACTATATTTTGAACACTTTTTTTTTTACTACCCAAAGCTATGCTATTTTAAATAATTCACCTCCAGGGTAAATGTCTACCTTACCAACATCTGGTCAATGTATTTCTTCAAGATTTCTGCAACTCCTCTGCTGTTGTGGACAGCATTAGGATAAATTATAGTTGTAGCACCCCTGTTCCAATCTACTATAATGAGGTTAACGTCCTCTAAAGACAGCAGAAGTTCTTTTATGTCATTCAGCCATATTGGTGTAGAGCCTGTTAGTCTGAAGCCATGGACTACAAAGACAGTTTTCTTGGTCACATCCAGATATGTAGATGCTGTTGTATTATATTCACTGAGACTCTCGGAACAGTTTTGGTTTGTCCTTGTGTACAAGAGCAGTTTCACTTTTAGATCTGTCCCAGCTAAAGCATTGTGTATGCTAAGATCTGTGAACTCTTCACATTTTTGTTCTGTATCTGAAAAATATAAAAATGTTAGACAATTGTTTGATCAGTTAGACTCTGTAAAAGGCCATTCGTCTACACTCTTTCTTTCTCTAATTGTCCACAAAGGGTGAAGTACTTCCATTTATTCTAGCATTTTGAATAACTTATTTCCTCCCCAACAAACACAAACTAGTTGGTTTAGCACCTTCACTTTGTCCTCAGCTTTGCTGGGTTCACTGAACTCATCTAAAGCCTATGCTTATTCCAACTCTGTGACACAAACCTGGGGCCAGATCCCCAACTATCGTAAATCAACACAGCTACATGGACTTCAAAGCTGATTTACCCAACTGAAGGTTAGGCCCCCAATATTTTTACAAACCTTCCTCGGTTTTTCCTGTCATATGCCTCTTTATATAAAACAAAGTATAAAAATACAAACTGTCAATTTCTTTTGGAAAGTTGAAGTAGGAAGAGGAATAGTAACTACTCTGTTCCTAAATGGTAGTTTTTCTTGTAAGCTTATTTAAACTAAGTTTACTGAGGATTCTATAAATAGGCAAAAAAATAAATGGGAATCTGGCAGAGATTGGAGGAAGTGGTTGCAGCACTTTCACATTTCTCTGGAACCAAGTGGCATTACAGAGAAAGTGGACCTGGTTAAATCACCCACACAGCTACACATGGCAGGTCCAGAGGCCCTGGATATCCACAGTGCATTGCGGTGGAAGCATGAAGAGTATTACAAACTAGCTGACAAAGGTTTGGTTTTTTTAAAATCAAGAATACTGTGATCCACATAAGAATGTCACTTGAAAAGGTCCTTTATATTGTTTTAATCAAGAAACCAACTGACAGGTGAGATCGCTGAACACTATGTTCCAAATCTACATAACCAAGATAAATCGTGTGAATTTCAACAATTAACAGATGGAATAATTAGAGGTCAAATTATTTGTGGAATCATTGATAACCAGGCAAAAGCAAGGTTACTGCAAGAAATAGACTCGACGTTGCAAAGAATAGTGGATATATGCAGGGTTAGTGAAAACCAAAATAAGGTGACAGAGCAGGATACAAAAAGTCCTGAGTCTTCCTGCTCTATCATCTGGAAAGGCACAATATTTCTCCTGCTCATTCATGCAGTCACCTCATTAGAAATTATTGTAACCATAATTATTACATATTTGGAATTTCTGACTTTTAAAATTCAATACCAATATTTTTCTGAATAAAAGTGTTAAATGTTTTATTTTAGTTTTAAGTAATTTGCAGTTATTATTTAACAGGTTACATCTTTGTGGACTAATATGACTCACTAAATCAGATAACTAATAAAAGAAGACTCGTCTGGCTATAATCTTTAATAGACTTGTATACAGTGAATCTTAGTAAAGTGAGGAACTCTGAAATTCAAGAACAGTTCAGATTCAGATGCAATTAATTTGATCTTTATACTAACAACATCAAAAGGTCCTATTTCAATGTCTTACATTGGCAAGATCCTGAAAAGTTATCATCTGTCAAATTTAATTTCTGGTTTTCAAATCATGTCAATGTTAGGTAAGGTGAGAAAACTAAAACATAAATTCTCTCTCACACATGCCACTCACACACCCACAACTACACGTTGGAGACAGTTTCAGTAAAAAAAAAAAATTATTTAGACATCTAATTGCATTTTAAATATTCAGATTCACAGCTAAACTGTACAACATTTTTCCTCAGTGTACTATGAAACAGCTGTTCTTCCTCTAGAAAATCCAAAATGGATATCACTATCTTACAATTAGATAAGATTATTATTATTATCATGTATTTCTCAAACCTGTATAGTGAATTACAATGAGATATGTTAAATATTGAAATGTTCCTTGATATTAATGGGACTATTTTGATTTCTACACATGAAGCTCAATTCTCTCACTTACATCAGTGTAAATCAGGAATAAGTCCATTCAAGTCAATGGAATTACATGGGCATGAAACCAATGTAAGTGAGATCAGATTCAGATCAATGGAAACACAAAAGCCTATCCTGTTGGATTCAGAGTAACAGCCCTGTTAGTCTGTCTTCGCAAAAAGAAAAGGAGTACTTGTGGCACCTTAGAGACTAACCAATTTATTTGAGCATAAGCTTTCGTGAGCTACAGCTCACTTCATCGGATGCATACTGTGGAGATATCAAAGATGAGTGAAACCTATTCGCTGAAAAGTATGCTACATATGAGTTAAACGTATCTCAGATGTTTACTTTCAAGTATGAAATGAGTACAAAAGGTGTTCACTGAAAAGTAAATACAGGAAAAAGGACAATGCATCTGCTTTCTACACTTCTGCATACTTTATATTGTGGAATAGATGAAAACTCAAATGGATTTGAAATGTTTAGAAATAATTTGAGACCGTTCAGCAGTAAATTATTAAGCAAACTGGAAGCTTTGCAAATTTGATTTCACACATTTTTGAGGCAACATTTATTGGTTTCAGGTTTCAGAGTGGTAGCCATGTTAGTCTGTATCACCAAAAACAATGGGGAGTCCTCATGGCACCTTAGAGATTAACAGTTTTATTTGGGCATAAGCTTTTGTGGGGTAAAACCCATTTCATCAGATGCATGGAGTGAAAAATACAGTAAGCGGTATATATATACAGCACATGAAAAGATGGGAGTTGCATTACCAAGTGGGGGGTCAGTGCTAACGAGGCCAATTCAATTCAGGTGGAAGTGGCCTATTCTCAACAGTTGACAAGAAGGAGTGAATATCAAGAGAGGGAAAATTACTTTTGTAGTGCTAATGAGGGCAATGCAACGTATAACTAACAGTTGTATAACTAACATGTTTGTATAACTAACATTGCTTTTTATACACCCTCATGAGAATATTCAAATATGCTCTTTTGTCAGATGCAAAAATTATAAATATCAGCTGGGCAGTTGTAGTTATTCCAGAAAATATATATAATTTCACCCTTTTCCATTTAAATTTGTAAAATTTCTTTTATATTTGTCTTCACTTAATGGCTTTTGAGGCTAGGACAGAGAGAACCAACAAAAACACACATTTTGATTGGAAGGGCTTTAATAAACAAATGACAGTGTACATAAAAATAACTAATTCATACATTTGTAAAATATACTTTGAAATTCTTTATACCTAGTAAATTAATGCTGAATAATTTCAGATTATGCTTAAAACTATTTTGCAAAAACTATTTTACAGTTCTCATACACTTCCACAATACAAAGTGCACATACTTCTGTTTGTGTACAAAAATGCAGGAGATAAAGTATCATGTTTTTTTCTTTATTTACCTTACACTGAAAACCTTTGTGCTACTTTCAAATCAGTCAAGTTCACCTGACTAATTGTTTGTTACATTAATCGTGATTCAGAAGGTTTAATCTACATGTCATTTTGCAGTTAGAAAAGTTAGTCTGCTTTGCCTGGAAAAAGTCAAGAGGAACTTTTCGTGGCTCTCTTACCTGATCTCACCCAGCACGTCAAAAGGATGAATAGAAACAGCTTCAACATATGGAAATGGTGAAAAGCAACATGTAACATCCACAACTGAATGGAGAAGATTTTAGTATTTCCTTATAGTGTGCTAGCTTTCACTATGATCTGACAATTAAACGTCACTGATAAAACAGGTGTGGTGAAGAGAAGGAAGTTACTTTGCAAAGGGCAAAAACCAATGTTTAAGCTTTTGCAATGCATGACTCCTCCTATTTACTCACTTAAATTGGTGATGCATATTCCATTCCTTCAGAGTTATTTTTGTGTTTTTTTCTAATCATCAGTTGCCTTTCCTTCTCTCTCCTTGGGAACTACTGGACTAACATGGGTCTATACCTTGTGAGTAGTTGATGTGGTACGTTACTGGTGGCTATGCCAGATATGTGGAATTTAGGGAGGAGTGGAAGTAATTGTACATTACTTTGCTTGCCCTCTCTGCTCAGATGAAATGCCAAGGAAGACAGACTATGTGGTTGTTTTTGATCGTCTGTTATACATCTGGTGGTCTGCAGAGTGTGGAAATAGAAGATGCTGAGATGGGCAAAAGCAACTTGCAGCAAAAACACATTTTGGCTATAAAATTGTTCCTCTGTAAGGACTAGAAAGAAAGCCATTGCATTCTTAGGGATTGATTTGACTTTGTGATTTTCCTAAGGATTCTCCCTCTAATCTTAACTCACAGAGGGAGTGGGGAATATTTTATAGAGGACAGAACTAGTAGTCAGAACTCTTGACTTGTATTTCTGATTCCATCGCTGGTTTGCTGTGTTATTGAGAGTAGGGTGACCAGACAGCAAGCGTGAAAAATTGGGATGGGGTGCGGGGTAATAGGAGCCTATATAAAACAAAGCCGCAAATGTTGGGATGGTCCCCATAAAATCGGGGCATCTGGTCACCCTAATTGAGAGTCACTCATATCACTTAACTTCAATGTGTGCCAGCTTCCCCATGTGTAAAACAGAATAATACTTACACCCTCACAGAGGTGTTGTGAGACTTAGTCAATTATGACCTCATTACCCTTCCCAGTTGGAAAACCCACAGGAGTAGAAAAAGGCAGAGTAAATCTGAGTGATGTTTTCCTTGCAAAGATTCCTTCACAATTGTTCCATTGGATAGAACAAGATATGGGGCCCATTCCTCATGGACTAGCGAGAGACCAAGAGTATCTGGGCTGGCTTTGTGTTCCTCTACTGTGTTAGGGGGTGTTTTGAGTCCGAGGCCAGCAGTATCATGTGGTGGAGATACTCTGGACTGTGTTGCCCAACAGCGAGAGTCAGTACTGCTTGCAGCTGTATTGCCCGATGGTGAGTCAGTAGACAGGGTAGGAAAACCCAGGCCCTCCCTACTCCAGCGGGTTCCAGCTCAGGGCCCAGTGAAACAATATGTCAAAGTATGCAGCCTAGGAGGGTGGGCACCTGCTCCCTGGGCCACTTCCTACCCTGGCATCAGTTCTTTTGCTGGCGTGACTGGGTCATTTCTGAGCTCCCCTTGGAGACCTCATTGGGCCCCGACTGGTTTTTGAATGTTATAATTCTTGACGTCTGAGAACCAGTCGGAGAACACTTCAATCTCTTTGGTCACTTGATTACAGACCTAAAAGTGGCACTTCTTCAACAAAAAAACTTCAAAAACAGACTCCAACGAGAGACTGCTGAATTGGAATTAATTTGCAAACTGGATACAATTAACTTTGGCTTGAATAAAGACTGGGAGTGGATGGGTCCTTACACAAAGTAAAACTATTTCTCCATGTCCCGTCCCCCCCCCACTGTTCCTCAGATGTTCTTGTCAACTACTGGAAATGGCCCACCTTGATTATCACGACAAAAGGTTACCCCCCTAACCTCCCCGCTCTCCTGCTGGTAATAGCTCACCTTAAGTGATCACTCTGGTTACAGTGTGTATGGTAACACCCATTGTTTCATGTTCTCTGTGTATATAAATCTCCCCACTGTATTTTCCACTGAATGCATCCGATGAAGTGAGCTGTTGCTCACGAAAGCTCATGCTCAAATAAATTTGTTAGTCTCTAAGGTGCCACAAGTATTCCTGTTCTTTTTATAATATCTAGTTGAGCCACATGATGGCAAGTCAAGCACAGGCTTTGTTTTTCATTTTCAGGGGGTGCTTACACCCCGAGAGGTCCCACTGGGAGCACGGGGCTGCAGTACCAAGGCCACCAAGTAAACGACAACTAATGCAACTTGGTGACAAGCGTATTCAAAAGTAACAAGTCTCTGGGCACCACTTGCTTCCTTTCGTGGAGCTGAGCCTGTGATTTCCCCACGGGGACCCCTTCTGCAGCAGGAAGAGGGGGGGAGGTGGTCTCAGGCTGCCTGTCGCCCACAGTTTGGGTTGGCTTGGGTTGGCCAGTTTGGGTTGGCTGCCTTCCTGGAAGAGTAAAGGAGTACTTGTGGCACCTTAGATACTAACCACTTTATTTGAGCACAAGCTTTCGTGAGCTACAGCTCACTTCATCGGATGCATACTGTGGAAACTTCAGAAGACATTATATACACAGAGACCATGAAACAATACCTCCTCCCATCCCACTCTCCTGTTGGTAATAGCTTATCTAAAGTGATCACTGTCCTTACAATATGTATGATAATCAAGGTGGGCCATTTCCAGCACAAATCCAGGATTTAACAAGAACGTCTGGGGGGAGCGGGGTAGGAAAAAACAAGGGGAAATAGGCTACCTTGCATAATGACTTAGCCACTCCCAGTCTCTATTTAAGCCTGAGTTAATTGTCTCCAATCTGCAAATGAATTCCAGTTCAGCAGTTTCTCCCTGGAGTCTGGATTTGAAGTTTCGCTGTTGTAAGATAGCGACTTTCATGTCTGTAATCGCGTGACCAGAGAGATTGACGTGCTCTCCGACTGGTTTATGAATGTTATGCATCAACTTCCTGGAAGAGGACACACAACACGATCTGGTCTCCAGCACAATCCTAGCGGCCTCTTGGCCTCGCTGGGCCCAGGCTGCAGCGCTGCTCGGGGACCGCGCACGGCAGCGGGGAGGGCAGCGCCAGGCTCCGGGGTCGGGGCCTTTGCGCAGGCGCTGAGCGGGCGGGGCGGTTGCCCTTGAGGCGAGATGGGGGAGAGGCTGCGACTGTGTCTCCAGTTGGTTCCCTGCCACCTCAGGAGGCGGGGTTGGAAACTGCGAAGCTCCGCCCCTGCCCGCGCGAGGGTTGCTAGGACGCCGAGCCCGAAAACGCAACGTTCTGGCGGCCGCCAGGCGCGGCACTCGTCTCCTAGCAACTGCGGTAAAGCACTCCCGCCTGCCTGTCGTGCTACTGAGGCGGGTGGCCGGTGCTTTACGGACGGTCGTGCGTGTTCACTCCGTCTTCCCCCCGCCCCGTGCGAGCGCTGATGGAGTGTTGGCGTTGACTGACTGACGCCCTGCTGGGCCGCCATGTCCGCGCCGGGGCGGGCGGGGGAGCCGGACCGGACCCTGTTCGTAGGGAACCTGGAGAGCCGCGTGCGGGAGGAGATTCTCTACGAGCTCTTCCTGCAGGTGCCGGCCGGGGGCGTGGCCTGGCAAGGGGGCGGGCAAGTGGAATGAGTGGGCAGGTGGGGGCGGGGCCTGGGAAGGGGGTGGGGTCAAAGAGGTGGAATGAGCGGTGGGACTTGGTAGGAGCAAGGCCTGTGGAATGCGGGGCCTGGGCGGATCCAGGGAGGCAGACTGGGAGATCGTGGCCCCAGGGGCGGGGTCTGTGGAAGGTGGGGGCGGGGCTTGGTGGGAGCGAGGCGGGTGGAATGTGGGGCCCGGGGGCGGGGCTTATCCTGGGGAGGTGGGAGGTGGGCTTGGTGGAATGGAAGGGCCCCTGGCTGGGGCAGGTTGGGGTGTCTCTGTGATGGGCGGTGGGGGGCTGCAGTCAGTACCGGAGCTGCCCCTCGTGTTGCCTGGCGTTGCCGGGCTCCCACTGGCGTCCAGCGGAGCAGGCTGAAGAAGTCACTCCCCCCTGTACAGGGTCCGTGTCCTGTTCTGTCCCCCAAGCTGGGGTTGAGGGTGCTGGCTCCCTTAGCTCTCCACTCTGTGTCTATGAGGAGGGTGGCCAAGCCGTCCCGTTGTCTAGTCTGGTATTCTCAGCCTCCAACGTTCAAAAATTGTAAATCTGGCCCCCAAATCACGTGACCTTAATAAACTTTTTGTTTTTTTATTTGCTTTCTGGGTTTTGATTCATTTGGGTCATGTTTTCCAGCATTTCTCTGTACCAGAAAAGATTAGAAAGGTACAAAAACACAAAAGGTTAAGAGAAAGCTAAGATTCTCATGTAATCACCTGCCTTCAGAAACTGGGGCATTAAGAAGACCTACTATTGCAAGACACATTGAATTTGTAAGAGTTGGTAACAGTAGTCCTTTGGTTGCTTCTGGGTCCTTGGACACACTTAGGCTACCCCGATTTGTAGGAACTAGTACAGGGAGGAGAGGCATGTGATCCATTGCCAGTGAGAAGCATGATGTCTAAATTTTCTCTCTCAAATGTTTTTGGTGCTTATGTATGCAAATTCCTGCCGGTTACCTTTTAAATGTTGAGGTAGGGATCAGTTTCTGCTATCTGTGTGTGTGAGTGCGTGCACATGTGTGTAGTGTTCACATCAGAAATTCACTGTCATCAGGGTTCCCCTCACTGACAATAAACAAAGGCCAATTATAGAAGAAAGCATCAAGGCCTAGACTTTTTTTTACTTTAGGAGGTTCGACCCTTTGTTATTGCCTCTGCCACTTCATAATCCTTGAATTAGCTTTTTCCAGAGATGGGGGTGAAAAAAGCATCCATCTCATCTCCCCTTAGCAGCCATTCTGGTTCTTGCTCCCTACATTTAAACCATGTTGTACTACTCATGCTCCCTGGTGAGACAGTCCATCATGCTGTCCCAGTGAAATAAAAATAGGATGAAACTCCCAACATGCAGTCCTTCACCCTGAAATGAATCTTGTATATGAGCTACCCTGATCAGCTGATCCTGGCTAACAGTGTATTCCTATTAGCTGTAGCTTCCGTCATACACCTCCTCAGGAGTCCAAGCAGGT